AAATTGGATTTGAATAGATACAAAGGGAATATGTATGTAACTGAAGTGTGATTGAATGTATAAAAAGTATATGTGGAATATGCATGATGTTATATTGAAATATACATGAAAGAAAAAGTGTTAGAAAAGTATGTACCAGACAAGTCGCACCAAGTCTAATGTTTTTAAATTGTATATTCAATAAAATTATTTTTTTAAAAAAAATAAAATAATTTTTTTTTGGCTCATTAAAAGTTTACTCAATTCATTGATGTATTTCTTTCAAAGATATGTCTCTCAGATTCTGTTATTCTGTTAAGAATAAGTCTCTTGGGTGAAGGGAATAAAAAGTTACCTGAATTGTTGTTTTGATAAGTCTTAAATTAGAACTATGCCCATGAGTCATACAAAGATTTTTTCCCTCATGCATACTAGTAAATCTCTCATACGCACCATCCATCAACAACAGATTTGACAAATATTTATGAACACTTATTAAAAATATCTAAAAATTTGGTCCACAAGGACTATGGAGAGCATATGTGAGACTACTTTAGGCAGGACTGGGCAAGTCTGGATGTAATCTTGCTCATTTTAATGTGCCGGATTTCATTTTATCTTTATTAATAAAGTCGGCTTTGGCAAGACACTTTTCTTAAACAGCTCTGAGGCCAAAGACAGTGGTGCCTGTGTCAGAGAACTACAGAAGATCTCCATCATGACATGTGAAAATCTGCTGCTGCTGCTTCTTCTCCTGGTGTCCCAGTTTCCCTGTGGTACAATGAGGACCAAATGCCCATTGAATGTGCAGAAAGAGGAAGAACATAGATTCAATTACTACAAGCCAGGAGACTTCCTGATTAGTGCAATCATATCTACAACTATCACTATATTTGAACCATACATTTTCTTTAAACCTCCAAACAACAGATTTGACAGGTAATTCCTGATATCTACGTAAGCCTAGTGATTCATTTTGTCCTTTTTTGTTGTTGTTTGTTTGTTTGTTTGTAAAAATATCAATGGTTTCCATTTCCTGGTACTAGGTCTTTTCCCATCTTCATTTCCTTTAAGGAAAAGACTTAAATTAGGGATGGGGGTGCTCTTCACAAAATAACTGTCTGTGATGCCAGGGAGAATTACAGGATTGCCTCTTAGCTGAAGTCAAACTGTTTCATCTTATTTTCCCATTCTCATCAATGTTTTTCTTAATGATGCACTGATCTTTCTATCTCTCCTGTCCGTCCATCCATTGATCTGTCTGTCTGTCTGTCTGTCTGTCTATCTATCTATCTATCTATCTATCTATCTATCTATCTATCTATCTATCTATCTATCTATCTATCTATCTATCTATCTATCTATCTATCTATCTATCTATCTATCTATCTATCTATTGTCTGTTTCTGTCTGTCTGTCTGTCTGTCTGCCTACCTACCTACCTACCTACCTACCTACCTACCTACCTACCTACCTACCTACCTATCTATCTATCTATCTATCTATCTATCTATCTATCTATCTATCTATCTATCTACCTATCTATTGTCTTTCTGTTTCTGTCTGTCTGTCTATCTATCATCTATCTATCTATCTATCTATCTATCTATCGTCTGTCTGTCTCTGTCTATCTGCCTCTGTCTGTCTGTCTGTCTATCTATCTATCCATCCATCCATCCATCTATCATCTATCTGTCTATCTATCTATCTATCTATCTATCTATCTATCTATCTATCTATCTATCTATCTATCTATCTATCTATCTCTTTGTCTCTGTCTCTATCATCTCTATCTCTTCAGTCTACTGAATCTCTATCTCTTAATCTGTCTATCTGGCTCTATCTCTCTTTGATCTCTCATCTTTTTCCTTCCTGGGCAAGTCCCCACCTGTTGGCTTTCAGCTTTCTTTCATAAAATGGCTTGAGCGCAATTTGGTCTCTCAAAAGGAGGCTGGCATTTTGCTTTGGGTGGCAGCATCACCATCTTTCTGCTTACTTTTTGTTTAAATTAATGAAATCCCTAAAAAAAAATAAAGAAGCCAAGGACCATGACAGGAAAAACACAGCCCTGGTTGTGTTTTATTTAAATTTATTTAGAATAGAATATAATTTTGTTTATTGTCCCTGAAAACACCATCTATCTGATTTAAAAGAGAAATGAATGTGGTAGAGGCCATTTCAGATGTTTCAAAAAAAAAAAAAAGTCCATTTCTGGTAAGTGGTTGTTACTGTATTAATATATGTCTTGAAATAGAAATTAATTCTTATATACAATGAAAAAAATTATTTAAAACATTAATATTAATAGTATGTAACTATAGGATCATTGCAAGGTATAATGATTAATATCTGTCGTGGCTAATATATACCAAAACCTTTATATGCTATAATTTTTAATATTAACATATATGTCAAGCCATCTATTTTTGAAAATTATGGAAATAGATTATTCTATGCAGAATACTGTCTGAAAAGATAATAACAATAAAAGTAAATTATTTAATGGCAAAGGAATATTAAGTTTAATATTAGGGATTTAATGACTAACAATGGAATGGGGCAAGGGGAGGCTTTATCATGGCTAGCAAATTCTTGTTTTCTTCTGACTTTTGCATGCTGAGAGACAAAATTTACAAACAGTATATGCTACTCCTACCCTATTTCAACTCCTACCCTCAAAAGAATGCTATAGAGCACTGCACACCAGAACAACTAGATACAAGAACAGTTTTTCCTCGGACACCATTACTTTGCTAAACAAATAATTCCTTCAACACTGTCAAACTATTCACTAAGTCTGCATTACTATTACGATTAATCCTCTTATCTTTCCTATCACCCACCTCCTCCCACTTATGACTGCATGACTGTAGCTTTGTTCCTTGTATCCTTATGATTTATATTGATATTGTTTCCTGATTGCTTATTTGTACCCTATGACTATCATTGTGTTGTACCTTATGATTCTTGACAAATGTATCTTGTCTTTTTATGGACACTGAGAGCATATGCACCAAAGACAAATTCCTTGTGTGTCCAATCATACTTGGCCAATAAAGAATTCTATTCTATTCTATTCTATTCTATTCTATTCTATTCTATTCTATTCTATTCTATTCTATTCTATTCTATTCTATTCTATTCTATTCTATTCTATTCTATTCATATTGTGGAAGAACAATATGAAAGAAATAAAATTAAATTAAAAGATGTAAAAGTCATCAGAATGGGCTCGTATTTAGCAGAAAAATTCCATAGCGATATTCTTAACAATTAGAAATCAAAGAAATCCTAGAACAAATCTCAAGAAAAAGGGGAAAGACTGTATTTTCATATGAATATGGTTTTCTGAAGTGAATTTTAAATAAAACCATCCAGTTGCTCAGACATTTTATCCATGATTAGAATAATATAGGATTTGCTGTCAGAATGCCCCTCTGAGTCTTTTAGAGAAAATAAAAGTTGGGATCAGGTCCAAAAATTGTAATTGGGGTCACTTTGACCCTAAAGAAAAGTATGGAAAAGAAGGTCCCACTTGTGCCAATGGGGTGTCAATGGGGCTGATCTTCTAATATGAAGACCCAAGGAAAGTCCATCACGGTAAATGAATGATACAGGGATCTGACATTTTTTTTCATTGAACAATGAATTTCTGGCAATATTTCCTGCATTACATATGGGTAGGGAGCTTTTGACATGATCCTGTCCTACTTTCCCCTTCAAGAGGCCAACCAGATTATTTTATACATAAGGGGATAATGCATTCCAACATTGATTTCAGACTGTAGATTTCTGAACTTTCCATAGTAGATTCATAAAAGAGCAATACAAATGATTTCTAATAAATGTTTTTAAAGAAACAGCTTCAGAAATGTGATCTGGTTTTTTTTAATGAATTGAACATGAACAATTCAAAACCAAAATGAAATCTTTTCACTTGCAGTATACCCATTATGAGCTTCAGGCACATCCTATCCTTCTTCTTTGCTCTTCGTGAGATCAACCAAAGCATCCAAAGCTGTTACCAAACATCACCATGGGTGGGCTACAGCGTTAGAGATACACGAGAGGGTGATGCATTCCATAACTAACTTCAGATTGTTCGATTGTCCAGTTTCCAGACTAGACTCATAAGACAGCAATTCAATTGATTAGTTATAAATATATAAAGGAATAGCTTCAGGAAATATGATGTGATATTATGAATTGAAGATTCATAGCAAAAATGTACCCAAACGTAAATCCGACTTGCTGGAAGTGTAAAAAAGCACAGGGAACTTTTTATCATGCTTGGTGGCTCTGCCCAGAAATTAAAAAATATTGGAACAAGATTAAAACATGGATAGCAGAAATAACAGATTGTGAAATTGAATTAGAACCCGAAATCTTTCTATTAGGTATGATCAAAAAGAACATTAGGAATGATACAAAATACTTAATACTTCACATAATAACGACGGCCAGACTAGCAGTAGCACAACTTTGGAAAACAAATAGATTGCCAACTGATCAGGAGCTAATGCAAAAGATATACACATGCGCAGAAATGGACAAATTAACTTTAGAGTTACAAGACAAGGAGGACTCAAAATACTTTAGAATATGGAATAGATGGTACCAGTGGATAAATCAAAGGAGGCCAAATGGGTTGAGATGAAAATTAGATGAAATTATTATAAGTAAAGGAAAATGCACTGTCAAGATAGATAGAAAATGAAATATGTCACTGTAGGTTTGTATATCTGTATATATATATATAATTAGTAGTTGAAGTTGATTATTGTACATGTATATGCAGATTTGTTTCTTGATAAGTTAACTTTTAACTTAATCAAGTCTTTGTATGTTTTAAATGTTTTTCTTTTAAGAATGAATAAAGTTTTGCTTTTTAAAATTAAAAAAAAAAAGAAAGAAGATGAAAACCCTACATTGAGATGAAAACCAACTAAAGTTTCTTATCTTGCAGTATACAGAGTATGAGCTTCTGGCATGTCCTGCCTTTCTTCTTTGCCACTCATCAGGTCAACCAGAACCCAAAGCTCTTACCAAACATCACCCTGGGCTACAAGATCTATGAGAACTTTTACAATGCAAGGTTAACATACGAGGTCATGATGGATTTGCTGTCTACGGGGCAGGAGAATGTCCCAAACTATAGCTGTGGAAAGCAAAATAATCTTTTGCCTCTGCTTGAAGACACTGATTCTGATCTCTTTAGTCAAATTTCCACCATGCTGAGCATCTACAAAATCCCACAGGTATGAATGAATATTGAAGCTAATTTCACTCTGCAAATAGCCCCCAAAAGCAATAGCACTTAGACATATACCAGTTCACAGTGCTTTACAGCCCTCTCTAAGCAGTTTACAGAGTCAGCATATTGCCCAGAAGGATAGAAGGCTGAGTCAGTCTCGAGCCTGGTGAGATTTGAGGCTTCCAGCAGACAGCAGAAGCAGCCTGCAGTACTGCATTCTAACCATTGCGCCACCATGTCTCAAAAGGAAAAATAATAAATAAAATTAGTGAGCCAATGGAGCTTAAAGAAGCCCTGAAATGGTTTTCATTTTTGCAGTTTTTTTAAAAAATTTGATTTATATGCCGCCCTTCTCCGGAGACTCAGGGCAGCTTACAATGCGCTAAGCAAGTTGAACAAACCTTCATTCATAGTTCAACTGAAATGCTCTAAACCAGGGGTCTCCAACAGTGATGGGTTTCAAATTTTTTTACTACCGGTTCTGTGGGCATGGCTTTGTGGGCGTGGCTTTGTGGGCAAGGCAGGGGAAGGATACTGTAAAATCTCCATTCCCTCCCCAATCCAGGGGAAGGTTACTGCAAAATCCCCATTTCCTCCTGATCAGCTGGGACTTGGGAGGCAGAGAATAGATGGGGGCGGGGCCAGTCAGAATTTTTACTACCGGTTCTCCGAACTACTGAAAATGTTCACTACTGGATCTCCAGAACTGGTCAGAACCTGCTGAAACCCACCTCTGGTCTTCAACCTTGGCAACTTTAAGACTTGTGGACTTCAACTCCCAGAATTCTGAGGAACTCTGGGAGTTGAAGTCCACTAGTTTTAAAGTTGCCAAGGTTGTAGACCCCTGCTCTAAACCATCCTATACTGGAAGAAAAAAAAGAAAAATATTGCTTTAGCGGTTTTTTATTTGTATTTAAAGACACACACAAAAAAATCCTGCCCAACTTTCTTTTTTCTGCTGAGTTCACATATAATTCCATCATCCCTAGGGCATTACTGAGACATATGTAGCTGAGCTGGTTTTATAACAGTGTTTTGTCCTTTGTCCTTGCACTGCTGAAGATGTGAAAAAATTGTCATATTTAGAACAGAATAGAATAACAGAGTTGGAAGCAGGGGTGCAATGCTCCCAGTTTGGTCCGGTTCACCCGAAGCAGTAGTAAAAAATGTAAAAAAAAAAAAAAAAAGTTCCGACGATCAGCTGAGAGATGCATGATTGTCGGAACCTTTTTTTTTTTTTTTTTACTTTTTACTTTTTTAGCATTTTTTTACTACCGGTTTTCCAGAACCGGTAGTTAAAAATGCTTTAAAACCAAACCAAACAAAAAAGTTCTGAAGATCGCGCATTGCTTAGCTGATCATCAGAACTTTTTTTTTTTTTTTACTTTTTAGGCATTTTTTAAATGCCTAAAGTAAAAATGCTTTTAACAAGTAAAAAAAAAAAAAAAAAGGTCTGATGATCAGAGCTGTGGCGCGCGATTGTCAGAGCCTTTTTTAAAACTTTTTAAAAGCATTTTTACTTTTCAGGCATGCCTAAAGTAAAATGCTTTTAAAAAGGAAAAAAAAAAAGAGGGTCTGACAATCAGAGCTGTGGCGCGCAATTGTCAGAGCCTTTTTAAAAAACTTTTTAAAAGCATTTTTTTACAACCTGTTCGCCATGCATTTGGTGCATGGTGGGCACTGTGCATGCATGTACACAGTACATATTTGGTGCCCAGCACGCATGCGCAGCCAGCAAACGGTTGAGATTTCAACACTGGTTGGAAGGGACCTTGGAGGTCTTCTAGTCCAAACCCCTGCTTAGGCAGGAAACCCTACACCACTTCAGACAAATGGTTATCCAACCTCTTCTTAAAAACTTCCAGTGTTGGAGCATTCACAACTTCTGGAGGCAAGTTGTTCTACTGATTAATTATTCTAACTGTCAGGAAATTTCTCCTTAGTTCTAAGTTGCTTCTCTCCTTGATTAGTTTCCACCCATTGCTTCTTGTCCTGCCCTCAGGTGCTTTGGAGAATAGCTTGACTCCCTTTTCTTTGTGGCAGCCCCTGAGATATCGGAACACTACTATCATATCTCCCCTGGTCCTTCTCTTCATCAAATTAGACATACCCAGTTCCTGCAACCGTTCTTAATATGTTTTAGCCTCCAGTCCCCTAATCATCTTTGTTGCTCTTCTCTGCACTCTTTCTAGAGTCTCCACATCTTTTTGGCATCATGGTGACCAAAACTGAATGCAGTATTCAAAGTGTGGTCTTACCAAGGCATTATAAAGTGGTATATCTTGATCTTGATTCTATCCCTCTGTTTATGCATCCTACAACTATTTCTCCTCCTGTAATTTTGGCAGAAAGTTGCTAATAGGCAATGACTGTAAATACTAGGCAAGTGATACCAGAGACTGAGGTGACATTTTGTGGTACAAACTCAAGAACAGAGGGAAGGAAGTTCTCTTCCATAGAGTCTTGATATGTAAGGACTTACTGTTGTCCTTAAAAACAAAGCAATCTACCATCTTTTTTCTCTTACATCTTAGATTAATTATGGGGTCATCAGCCACATTCCAGAGCAGAAACATCATTTTCCTTTTTTCTACCGGGTGACTCCAAAACAAGAACCTCCTCACTTGGCAATTGTCAAGTTGCTCCTGCATTTCCAATGGACGTGGATCGGCCTCGCTGCTCCGGACAATGAAAGTGGGGAAAAGTTCAGAAGAACCTTTGTGCCAGAAGCCCTAAAGAAAGGCGTCTGTGTTGCCTTCTCGGAAAGCTTACCAATGGTTATTGAAGTAGGGAAGAACAAGAACGTTCTTCAATATTTTAGTGACACTAAAGTAAAAAGTCTTGTTTGTCACTTGAACTTTCAGGCCACATTAATACTAGCAATTCTAATACGAGAAGTTGAGGCTAGTGAAATCCTGTTTGGGGAAAAAGTATGGATTGCCACAGCTTTGTCCGATATAAGTGTGAGATTTTTTAACCGATTATTTAATCTCCAGCATAATCATCTTTTGTTATCCTTCACAACTCAGACCAAGAAAAGGACACAATATTATGATTTTAATTCACATTACTCTGCTACGAGGAATTTTGGGGAGGCAGCATTTCAGTGTTCCTATTCAAACCCCTTGTTGTCTAAGAAATCTTGGAATACATGCCTGGAAAAAGAGAGCTGGGAAACCCCACCCCAGGATTTGGTTGAAAGAATCCTATCTGAGGATGGCTCCAGTATTTCCACAATAATCCAGGTTGTAGCCTGGGTTCTCCGTGCTGCCTCTTCCTACCAATTGAGCAAGAGGAGGATGCGTGTTGGGGACCATCAGACACCCCAGATAATACAGCCATGGCAGGTAGGGCTTCTATTACAAAATTCCACTAATGGTTTCTTTTCATTTCTTAAATGTTATGTTAGATGTAAGGAGGGATAGATGGGGATGGGGGCAGGGGTGGGCTGCTGGGGTTCACAGGGGTTTGAGAGAACCTCTAGCTAAGATTCTGTGCAGTTCAGAGAACCCCCAAATCCCACTCCTGGCTGTTCCTGCCCACTTCGCCCTTCCCCTCCAAGGAGTCCCCATGCGGCCCATTTTGGATGCAGGTAAGTGCAGGGCACACGAGAAGGCTCGGGGAAGACAAAAATGGGCCTACCAGAAGTCCAGGAAGGCCAGAAACGTGTTTCTTTCCAGGCTCCAGAGGGCCTCCAAAGACAGGGGAGGCCATCTTCACCCTCCCGGAAGCTTGTAGAAAGGGCAAAAACACCCCCCCCACCGCTTTGTGGTGCAGGAGACCATCTAGGCCATGCCCACCATGGCTACCCCCACCCAGCAACCGGGCAGAGAACCCCTTGTTAAAATTTTTGAGACCCACCCCTGGATGGGGGGAATTCCCATTTCTAATATGTCAGTTTCTAATACTTTTTCTGACCAAATGTGGAGGCTTAGAGAGAAAGAGACAGATTCTTCTTACTGAATCTTCTAGACCAAACCGGGTATGTTGGTTCAGGATGCTCGTAAGAATAGACATTGTCTCAAGAGAGAGGGACCTTTTCATATATTTGTGAAATAAATAAGTACCAGATGCCTCAGTAACCATCGTATTCTGTCTTAATCTCCAATATTGGTCTTATGTAGTAACAGCACTGAAAAAAGTGACTTATGACCAGTTTTCACAGTTACGACCATTGCAGCAGCCCCATGATCATGTGATCAAACTTCAGATGTTTGGCAACTGGTTCATACATATGACCATTGCAGCATCCCGGGGTAATGTGATCACTTTTTGCAATCTTCTGAAAAACAAAGTCAATGGAGCACCCAGATTCACTTAACAACTGTGGCAAGAAATGGGATAAAACTCACTTAACATATATTTTGAGCTCAATTGAGCGAGTTCAGAGATATTTCACGAGAAGAGTACTCCACTCCTCTGTTCGCAACAGAATACCTTATGCCACCAGACTTGAAATTTTGGGCTTAGACAATTTAGAACTACACCGCCTTCGGTCTTACCTAAGCATAGTACACAAAATTATATGCTACAACGTCCTACCCATCAATGACTTCTTCAGCTTCAAACTCAATAATACAGGGGCAAACAATAGATAGAAACTCAAGGTAAACTGCTCCAAACTCGATTACAGAAAATACGACTTCAGCAACAGAGTGTTGAATGCCTGGAATCAGTGGTGGGTTCCTCCCGGTTCAGTCCAGTTCGGCCAAGCCGGTAGCGGTGACGATATGATGTCACCGAACCGGTTCTCCCCCCCGCCCTCCCACCCCCTCACCCACCCACGTTATTCTTACCTTTTATTTGGTCCCATACCCAATCTATTGCTGCCTCCTGAGTCCCAGCTGATGACTAGAGGAAAAAAAACTGTTTAAACTCTTGCCGCGGGGCTTCAAAGGGCCGTCCTACAGCTGATCAGTGTTAAAAGCAAACAAATGAGTCGGGTCGTAAGTGCGAGGACCTTCCAGAAATGACTCTGACCAGCTAGCCACGCCCACCTAGTCACATGACCTCCAAGCCACACCCACAAAATAAGCCATGCCCACAGAACCGGTAGTAAAAAAATTTAGAACCCACCCCTACCTGGAATGCACTACATGACTCTGTGGTTTCATCCCCAAACCCCCAAAACGTTAACCTTAAACTGTCTAATGTTGACCTCACCCCATTCCTAAGAGGTCCGAAAAGAGGGCGTGCATAAGCACACCAACATGCCTACCGTCCCTGTCCTAATGTCCCCTTTTTATTTATATCCATTTCATGTATTCATAATCATGTTTATACTTTTATCTGTAATCTTATATATGCTTGACAAAAATAAATAAATAAACAAAATTGTTAAATTCCAATATTGGTCTGATGTACTGTAGTTCCTGTCCTGCCATGCAAGGAATGGTCAAGTTTTTTTTTCTTTTCAGCATCTTCAAAAAAACAAGCAGATCAGTTGACTTGGTTCTCACTACCACTTCCTGGTCACATAACCGGGCAACTTTCTTCTGCATTTTCATTCTCCCAAGATCCTTTTTATCTTTCTTTCTCCTTTGAAAATTAAACCTTAGAATCTGGAGCCCTGTCGTTTCTCCCAACCTTTTCGCTTTCCACCACCAATTGTTGGTTACAAAGGCCCTAAAATATTATTTATTATTTATTGATTAAATTTATAACCCATCCCTCTTAGCTATAAGGCCACTCTGGGTGGCTTACAAACAGTAAAAAGATGAACAGAAAAACAATTAAAAATTTTAAAAAGCTATTTTAAAAAACAAGAAACAAGGAGACAGACAGCACTGGGATGAGATCTTCTTATCCCAACAACGACCTCCAGTGGTGAGTGCCCCAAATCAAGGATACAAGCCAATTATCAAAAGTGAGTTTTGATGCCCTTCCAAAAGTCCAAAAGGATGGGAGTTCAACCCAAGAGGTGGGGAAACAACCCTAGAAGGATGGTGAGATTGTTGGAGTTAAAACATGTTTCTGACCTGAGATTAAAAATTTCATAAAACGAGTGGTGTGGTGGCCTAGAGGTGGAGCTCTCACCTCACAATCAGAAAGCTGTGAGTTTGATCCTAGGTAGAGGCAGATATTTCTCTCTCTGAGCACGATGAGAATATATCTGCTTAATATAACTCTGCATTGGTGACAGGAAGGGCATCTGGCCAGGAAACACTCAGCTCCTTTCAGTTGACCAGACTCCACCCCGCAAGGGATTAAAAGGAGATGGTTAAAAATTTCATAAAACAGCAGGCAAAAATAATGAACCGGAAATCTTTATGCATATGTGTTTATGTATGAGAGAGAGAGAGACAGAAATAATGGGAGAGAGGGTGGGCGAGGGAAAGGAAGATTTAGAGAAGAAGGGAAGAAAGGAATGAGAAAGAGAATAATCTTCCTGTCACAGACAGACAGAGGCACTAACTGAATATCCCACTTCTGATTTAGGGCTCCAAAGAGAATGTATAGATGGCAAGTGTGATTCTCCATGTCTTTTCAGCTCCACCCTTTTCTTAGAAACTTCCAGATTTACAATCTTTCTGTGGATGATGTTTATTTGGATGAGGCTGGAATTCCTGTTGCTGACTTTGATATTATGGACTGGGCAGTATTTCCTAACAAGTCTTCTGCTGGGGTGAAAATAGGGAATATTGGAAAAGAAGAAGTCTCTGCGGATATCAAGTTCTCTATCGATGAGAGTGTAATCGTATGGCCAACTTCCTTTCACCAGGTAACCAGGTCTGCCTGTTTGTGGATATTATTATTATTCATCCATTCTAGGTTTCCACCTGCTTTTATATCACACTTTGATGGAGTCTCTGTGCTAATGAAAAAAACTGGTTGAAGGAGATGCTACTATTTCTCCTAGAAGGCTCCTGGATTGCTAACTGTGGAAATGCCAGCATTGTTCTAGGTTAGGATGGAAAGCTAGTCCAATGATGCTTGTTCCCTGTAAGGAAGCTAAAGGAACCACACAAAACCCTTAGACCCTGAGCAGGGGTGGGCTTCAAAAATTTTAGCAAGGGGTTCTCTGCCCGGTTGCTGGGTGAGTGTGGCCATGGTGGTGTGGCCTAGTTGGCCTCCTGCACCATAAAGAGGGGATCTTTTTGCCCTTCCTGGACTCCAGAGGCTTTCCTCAAGCCTCCAGGAGGGTTCCAACGGCCTCCCCAGACTCTGGAGGCCCTCTGGAGGCCAGAAATGGGCCCATTTCCAGCCTTCCTGAACTTCCAGTAGGCCCTTTTTTTGCCCTCCCTGAGCATCCGTGTGTGCCCTGCACTTACCTGCATCCAAAACAGGCCACCTGGGGACTCCAGGGAGGGGCGGGGTGGAGTGGGCAAGGCCAGCCAGGAGTGGGATTTGGAGGTTCTCTAAACTGCACAGAATCTTAGCTTCAGGTTCTCCTGAACCCCTGTGAACCCCTAGCAGCCCACCCCTGACCCTGAGGGATTTACCTCAGGGCATGTAACTCAGTACAGACCTTGGTACTCTATCAGCATGGTTGCTTACACATATTTTATTACTCTGAGCAGGGGTGGGCTTCAAAAATTTTAACAAGGGTTTCTCTGTCCGGTTGCTGGGTGAGTGTGGCCATGGTGGGTGTGGCCTAGTCGGCCTCCTGCGCCACAAAGGGTGTGTGTGTGTTTTTGCCCTTTCCGGGCTCCAGAGGCTTTCCTCCCTCCTCCGGGAGGGTTCCAACGGCCTCCCCAGGCTCTGGAGGCCCTCTGGAGGCCAGAAATGGGCCCGTTTCCAGCCTGCCTGAACTTCTGGTAGGCCCTTTTTTTGTCCTCCCTGAGCCTCCGTGTGTGCCCTGCACTTACCTGCATCCAAAACAGGCCACCTGGGGACTCCAGGGAGGGGTGGGGTGGAGTGGGCAAGGCCAGCCAGGAGTGGGATTTGGGGGTTCTCTAAACTGCACAGAATCTTAGCTGGAGGTTCTCCTGAACCACTGTGAACCCCTAGCAGCCCACCCCTGACCCTGAGGGATTTACCTCAGGGCATGTAACTCAGTACAGACCTTGGTGCTCTATCAGCATGGTTGCTTACACATATTTTATTACCCAGCTTGATAACATTATCAGTGCAATGATAATAGCATCCTGTGCCTGACGATAGCATGGATGACGCTATCTAGTCCAGTAGTGAAATGTCTGCAAGGAAACAACCATATCAGAGTACACCAAGGACTCCACAGTTCAACCCTGAACTACATATATTTATTTTACTGGATGTTCAAAAGACAAATTCAGAATAGAGATGGAAGGGACCTTGGAGATCTTCCAGTCCAATCCCCTGCTCAAGCAGGAAACCCTATACCACTTCAGACAAGTGGCTGCCCAGTGTCTTCTTAAAAACCTCCAGTGATGAAGCACCCACAACTTCTGAAGACAAATTGTTCCACTGGTTAATTGTCCTCACAGTTAGCAACCTTAATTCCAGGTTGCTTCTCTCCTTGATTGGTTTCCATCCATTGTTTCTTGTCCTACTCTCTGTGCTTTGGAAACTAAGTCACCCCGCTCTTCTTTGTGGCAGCCCCTCAAATACTGAAATACTGCTATCATGTCCTCTTAGTCCTTCTTTTCTCTAAATTAGCCAAACCCAAATCTTGCAAACCGTTCTTCATATGTTTTTGCCTCCAGGCCTTTAATTGTCTTAGTTGCTCTTCTCTGCACTTTTTCCAATATCTCAACATCTTTTTTCGTAATGTGGTGACCAAAACCTAATCTGCACTTGTACCTTTGGGTTTTCCTGCCTAAGTGTAAAACCTTGCCTTTCTCCACAATAAATTTCATTTAGATAGGGCTCATTGTTCAAGTCTGCCAAGATCCTTTTGAATGGTGAGCTTGTCTTCTGGGATGTTGGCTATTACTGCCAGTTTAGTGTCACTTACTTTCTTCCATGTAGATGTAGTAACATTACTTGTACTACTTGTTGAGTGTGGTTTAGAGTTACAAATCCATCTGGTGATGATGCTGTCTATCTCACATTTTTCTAGCTTACAAGAAGTAGCTTGTGGTCTACTTTGTTGAATACCTTGCTGAAATCTAAGTATGCTATGTCCATAGCATTTCACTGGTCTACAAACATAAGTCTAAAAATGTTTGGACAGGAGAGCCATTAGTCTTTGCTGAATATTGAGAGGACTTTGAGATCATATGCTTGCAGAAATCACCCAAAGAAAAATATTTTAATTATATTTGAGAAAAGATCTTAAAAGTAACTTCTGAGTTCATGAACCCATCTTTGCATTGACTTCCACTTTTAAAATAAATTCCCTAAACTAGGAGTCTCCAACCTTGGCAACTTTAAGACTTGTGGGCTACAACTTTCATAATCCATTTGCTTTGCTGGCTGAGGAACTATGGGAGTTGAAGTCCACAAGTCTTAAAGTAGCCAAGGTTGGAGACCCCTGCCCTTAACATATGTTTCCATAATTTTCTTTCTGTTTAGAAAGCCCCTTTTTCTAGGTGTACTGAAAGTTGCCTCCCAGGATACACGAAACTCACAAGAGAAGGAGAACCAGTGTGCTGCTATTACTGCTCTCCATGCATAGAAGGAACAATCTCCATCCAGGAAGGTAGGTGGCTCAAGGACAAAAAAGGTACATCAGCCTTTTATTCTAGAGACACATATAGTACTAAGATTTAATCTCCTATGCCAGTATGCTGCATCCATATTTGGTAAACAGAAAAAAAAAAAGACACAGCAGTGTTTAGTGTTCAAGAAAAGTAATATTTTACTAGGGTGGTGTCAGCCCCACTGTGTCAGGGCTGCCATTCTGGCGGGGATGGCGACCAACAGAGGAAAACGCCCCACATTCCAGCTGCCCAGGAAGCCTCACCCTGCCTCCACTTGCTGGCCGGCTAGCCACTCCTCTTCCTGGTGCTGGCCAGTGGCTCCCTCTCCTGCCTGCCAATTTCGGAACCACCACTGCCTCTCAGCTGAGAGGCGGACAGGAAACAGCAGGCGCTTGGGCCGGAACCAGCCACTTCCACACCTGCCTGCACAGAGGCCCCAAGCCTGATCTGGAGCAACATTGCCGCCCGGGCCACCCAGGATTAATTAGGGCTCTCCTAGAGTTAAGCAGAGATCGATAACCCAGGCGAACAAGGACTGATTGAGGCTTGCTAGCATCTGGCGCTATATATTGGCTTCCTGGCTTGGGGGGGGGGTTAAGTCAGGGGGTGGAGTAGCGGGGTGGGGCGTGTCAGCTTTAAAACGGTGGTGGGAGCACAGAGAAGCTAGAGCTGACAATATTTCACTGAACCTGCACTGGGTGATTGTTAGAACGTGCCGGAGCGCAGAAGGTAAAATCTCTACAACAAACTTCACACTGTTGTCTGGCATTTTCCTTTCTCGTACTGATCTGGAACCTGACAGGTGGATGTTTTCAGAAACTGCTGAAACAGTAAAAGGTAATATTGACAAAGATGGGAAAACCTTGAGAGATGACAGAATTTGAAACAGGTATACAAAGCCAAGATCAACTATTCGTAGACATAGATAAATAATTTTTGAAACAGGACTTGGAGATGGAACAAATAAACAACTGTATGATAAAATGGATGTAAAAATCAAACAAATACTTTGTCAGTATATGAGAGTTAATGATTTAGAATAGACATAGTAACAGGTCAGCTAATGGGGACTGTTTGGTGACCCAGATGGCTCAGAGCCTGGGCATGGTTTAGCTTGACTGATTTGTATATAAGAGTTGCTTTGTCCTTCCAATATAGCCTCTGTATTATATAGCTTCTGTGATTATATTGATTCTGTGCTTCTGGATTCTGAGTTCTGGTTCTGGCTTCTGCTGCATGGGTATTGTACAAATGCATCATGCTTTATATTACTGTATATAAAGAAGTTTCTTTTATACATGAATCCTACTGAATTATTTACTTGTGTGCTAGTTGGATTGCTGCAAACTCTAACATAACTGCAATACAAAAATGAGCACAGCTTTGGGTGGAAAAATCCAGAAAATTTACTCCAGGTTATAAGCGGAAATGTTTTACAGACAGTATACAATTGTATCAACAATTGATAAAACAGACAAATCATACAACAATAAATGTTGGAAATCCTATAACAAAGAAGGAATATTTTATCATTTGTGGTTGTTATGCAAACAAGCTCAAAAGAATTCAGAGAATGAAACACATCAGAATATTCAGGAAAAAACGTAAACAAACATTGAATTGAAACCCCAAATATTTTTTGAGGTATAATTCTACAAATCTGGTACAGAATTGGAATGACACATTTTAGTTTTAGTTTTAGTTTTATTGAATTTGTATACCGCCCTACTCCCGAAGGACTCAGGGCGGTGAACAGCCATAAAATAAAACAATATAAATACAACATTTAAAATAGAATAAAACGAATTAAATAATTTGGCTGAATTTAAAACCCCAATATTTTAAAACCAAATTTAAAATTTCCATTTAAAAAGGGGAAAGACTTAGGTCAGGCCAGCCTGATGAAACAAGAAAGTCTTGAGCGCGCGACGGAAGGTACGCAGATCCGGGATCCTCCGTATCTCCGGGGGGAACTCGTTCCAGATAGTAGGTGCCCCCACAGAGAAGGCTCTCCCCCAGGGGCTGCCAGTCAACATTGTTTAGCCGAAGGCACCTGGAGGAGTCCCTCTCTATGGGAGTGTTCTGGTCGGTGGGAGGCTATTGGTGGTAGCAGGCGGTCCTGTAAATAGCCCGTAAATTTTCTCAGTGATTTTCACATTGGAAGGTGAAATTAGAGAATTTGCCACAATGGCAAAATTTATAATATCTAAAGATACTTCTTCACTTGGCAAATAAAGAGAAAGGATGGTGGCAATGTTTTTCTATAATCATTTTCTACTTTATTCTTGCTTAGTAACTATATCGTTTTGTGTTATTCAATTGTCAACATCCAATGTAAATCATTTTTCCTTTAAATTTCATTATTCTAATGATAGAAATATTTTTATTTTTTAAAAAAATGCAAAAAAAGGAGTAAAAAACACCTTCATTAGTATGTCTACACCCTGCCACTTGTCAGTTGGTCATGAGGCATAAAATGTCACTGAATCAGTAGATAAATGGCAATTCATGTTTTCCAGATGCAGCACATTGTGAAAAGTGTCCAGATGAACAGTACTCCAACAAGAAGCGAGATCAGTGTGTCCCCAAAATCATAACGTTCCTGTCCTACAAAGAAATGTTAGGTCTTATCCTGGCTATCACAGCCTTATTTTTGTCTCTAAACACTGCCTTAATTCTAGGAATCTTCATCAAATACCGAGAAACTCCCATAGTCAAAGCCAACAACCGGGATCTCACCTACATTCTCTTGGTCTCTCTCCTGCTTTCCTTTTTGACATCCCTTCTCTTCATTGGTAAGCCCCAGAAAGTGACCTGCCTTCTACAACAAATCACCTTCAGTGTTGTTTTCTCAGTTGCCGTCTCTTCCTTGCTGGCCAAGACTATCATGGTGGTGGTGGCATTTTTGGCCACAAAACCAGGCAGCAGGATGAGGAAATGGTTGGGGAAAAGTCTGGCCAACTCCATTGTCTTGTCCTGTTCTGGGGTTCAGGTTGGTATCTGCCTTACATGGCTGGGAATTTCTCCCCCATTTCCACATTCTGACCTGCATTCTCAACCAGGAGAAATCCTCCTGCAATGTAAAGAAGGCTCAGCCATCATGTTCTACACTGCCCTTGGCTACATGGGCTTTCTGGCTGCCATCTGCTTCTTGGTGGCTTTTCTGGCCCGCAAACTTCCAGGGACTTTCAACGAAGCCAAGTGGATCACCTTCAGCATGCTGGTCTTCTGCAGCGTTTGGATCTCCTTTGTCCCCACTTACCTGAGCACCAAAGGGAAGTACATGGTGGCTGTGCAGATCTTCTCCATCCTGGCCTCCAGCCTGGGCTTACTGGGCTGTATTTTTGTCCCCAAATGTTACATCCTTATTCTGAGACCTGACATGAACACTAAGGAGCAACTAATAATGAAAAACAATGAGGGCTCTTGATTTTGAAAGTTATTTCTTACCCAAATTATTATTAAGATAAACTAGGATAGTTGGAAGTAAAATTTTTGTTACATGTTCTAAAAACTCTCTCAAGTCTCAATTATGACTGATATAATAAGATATGCTAGAGATGTGTAAGAGATCATTTTCTTTTGAATTGTTACTTTCTTTTACTACAATCCATATTTAGGAAGAATGTATGTATGTATATGTATATGCATATGGAGATGTATATGTATATATGTATTATAGAAACACATTTGCTTTATCTAATGTTTAGAAGATATGACAATCGTTTGCTAATCTTTATGAAGTTTTGATGTGTTTCGTTTTCTTTCTTTTCATGTCATGTTGTTATGGGTTGAGGTTTTCTTCCTCTGCCTGGGCAATGAATTTATTTTATGCCACCACTTTTTTTTCTCCAAATCAACTGGGCCAATCTGATTGTTGATTTGGGAAAATAAAGTGTGCTAGCATAGAGGAAGTTATTGATTTTTGTTCCACCAATGTAGAACCTTGTTCCTCTTCTAATCCAAATTCTCTTAATATCCTTTCAGTATAAAGGATGAATAAATAAGAACAGAGTAATACTGCCTTGTCTCACTACTTTACCATCCTGGAGTTACTTCATTTTGCCCTATCCTATCCTATTATTACTATACACTTATTACTATAACCATGTTGCTGGTATCTTTCAATTTATATTGTTTTTATTTGTTTCCTAGTACGATTTGATAGCTTGTTAGTAACCTTGACTATCACTAAGTGTTGTATCTTTTTATTCTTGATGAATGTATTTTATTGTACATTGAGAGCGTATGCACCAAAGACAAATTCCTTGTGTGTCCAATCACACTTGGCCAATAAAGAATTCTATTCTGTTCTGTTCTGTTCTGTTCTGTTCTGTTCTGTTCTGTTCTGTTCTATTCTATTCTATTCTATTCTATTCTATTCTATTCTATTCTATTCTATTCTATTCTATTCTGTCTGGCTTCCTGTTCTATGTGTAGGTTTCTCATGAGGACAATTTGATATTGTATGATTCTCATTTCTCAAGGACATACTACATCTCAATATAGTTTATTTCTTTGAATTATTTGGGGTTTTTTAAAAGAATGATTTTTATGGCCACCCATCTTAGAATAATTCTGTCTGGCTTACAACAATAAAATTGCACTGTAATATTCTATTATATTTTGGAACTAACCTAAGATAACACTTTATGTAAAAAGGGATAGGTTAGGTCACAGAATAAGGAAATTCTCTTTTTTTATCTGAAACTTGTTTCTGGTCTGCAATTTCTCACACCACATTGATTAATGAATAAGTGCCACCAAAGTTCCTGCAATTGCTGATATATGGTCTGCAAATAGCACACGTGTATGGACAGGAAAAAAAAAACAATTTTCAGATTACTTCTCCGGTGTTAGGCCAAGTGTTGCTTTTTATGATCACATCAAAGAGTTCACAAATTATACACCTACAGTAGGTAGTTTAGGAGGAGCCTACCCTCTTTAGATCTTTCTCTCAATTCAGAGCTTCTGGTGTGCTTATTGTTTTGAAGTTTACTTAATTCAGCTTTCCAAACCACATATGCAAGTTAACCAGGGGTAGTATTCATTTACCTTCACTACCAATTCGCAAATCTGACCACACGCGCCACCTCTGCGCCAGAGGTGGGTTTCAGCAGGTTCTGACCAGTTCTGGAGAACCGATAGTGGACATTTTGAGTAGTTCGGAGAACCGGTAGTAAAAATTCTGACTGGCCCCGCCCCCATCTATTCTCTGCCTCCCAAGTCCCAGCTGATCGGGAGGAAATGGGGATTTTGCAGTAATCTTCCCCTGGATTGGGGAGGGAATGGAGATTTTTACAGTATCCTTCCTCTGCCACGCCCACCAAGCCACGCCACACCACGCCCACCAAGCCACGCCCACAGCACTGGTAGTAAAAAAAATTGAAACCCACCACTGCTCTGCGCATGAGCATGGCTTTCCATCAAAAATGGATGTCATGCAGAGTGTCAAAAACGGGACGTCATGCTGTCCGGGCCGCTGGGCGGAGCCTCTCACACAGCTCGCCCGAACTGGATATAACCGGCTGAATACCACCACTGAAGTTAAGTAATGAAATGTCTGCAAGCAAACCACCAAGCTCAGAAAGCATCACAAACTCCACATTTCAACCCAGATCTATGGATATTCTCTTCTATAAATCAATCAATCAATCAATTAATAAATAACTTTATTGTCATTGAATGTGTATACACAGTATACCCACAGAACAAAATTCACTTAACACCCAAAGACCAGGTCCAACACCACAATTCCCACCCACCATAATTCTCCACCCCTAAACCATTCTATTGGCACCAGCTCCTAGCTGCTCCTCACAACTGGGAGAAAACCCCAACATCTGATGCCTGATGCTTTTTTTCAATCCTGCCAACCAATTTTGCCCTACCCATTGCCCACATGCACCCCTCCCAAATTTTATTTTGGACCTTGGTTTTAACAAACTTAGGAAAGCTTTCCTTTTCGATGGAGGTAAATGATATAACAGCCGCCTTGCAGTTATGCAGGGACTCATGTAGAGTTTATAGGAAAAGTAACATACCATAGATTGACTCTATAAAAGGAAGAGGAGAAGGGAAGAGTGGGATGCTACAGGAGCGGCTCAGGACACCCAGAAATTTAGCTGGAGTGGAACTATCCCCGCGTGGCTCTTTCAGGCTGCTGTGGCATCCTCCGTGGCTGCCTGCTCTGCCGGGTTCCGACAATTCATTTCTTTTTCTCAGCATCGGGGTTCAGCCTTTAAAGTGAGCGGGTGGGAAAATGCTTTAAAGAGATTTCGTCTTCAAAAATTTCTTTCCACGGCGTGTTTTTGGCGCCCCCTCTGGTCAGTCGAAGGAATCTGCCTGCAGATGCGTGCAAGGGGACGCGGGTGCAAAGACCGCTTTAGGAGTTCATTTATGTCTGGAAAGGATTTGGGGACCCCACAGTCACGAAGCACAAAGTTAGAAGGTAGCCATGCATGACCATTGTCCCGAGTGGGCTCCACAATTAGGTCAGCCTGCGGAACCTCTAACCAGTGCAGAGCGTGACTGTCCTTGACTTTCTGAAGTCACTGAAAAACTTTTCAGATGGGTGGACTTCAACTCCCAGAAGTCTTGGGTAGGGAATTCTGGGAGTTGAAGTCCCCGCGTCTTAAAGTGTTCCAGGCCTGAGAAAGAGAGAGAGAGAGAGAGAGAGAGAGAGAGAGAGAGAGAGAGAGAGAGAGAGAGAGAGAGAGAGAGAGAGAGAGAGAGAGAGAGAGAGAGAGAGAGAGAGAGAGAGAGAGAGACTGCCTTAGCCAAGTGACCACGTGGGAAGGAGTCGCGCTTTGTGTGTTTTTTCGCTACACAACTCTGCAACAGTGTTTGCGATGAACGTTGTTGTCTGGCCACTACGGCGTGACGAGACGAGACACGCATCTTGGAGAAGCGGGGGGAAACCTGGGGTCTGCGAGGTTGGATGGAGACACCGGTTCTGCCGGGATGGCTGCTTTCCACTTGTTTATATAATGGGTTCATTTATTAAGCAACTTACTTAATTTTCCTGAGAGGTGCCAGTTTTTAAACGAGACTGAATTTTGAATGGGTCATTCAGGACCATCAACTTCCCTGATCTACACAAAGGTGATTGGTGCTTCTTTTATATATCTATATATACCGATGGGTGGGTGGGTGGGTGGGTGGATGGATAGATAGATAGATAGATAGATAGATAGATAGATAGATAGATAGATAGATAGATAGATAGATAGATAGATAGATAGATGATAGAGGGAGGAAGGAAGGAAGGAAGGAAGGAGAAAAAAAGAAAGAAAAAGAAATCTGCCTTTTCATGGAGAACATTGAAGAGAATGGGAATATTAAATGGGAAAGAACCTCATTTCTTTACCTTCAATTAAAAAAGGATCCAGCGAGTCTCAGTGGCTTCACAGAAGGTTATTTTGTGAAGAGCCAAGACTCAACACCTTCAGATAGAAATTACACACACACACACACACACACACTGGATATATAGACGTATATATATATATATTGGATATACATATATACAGTTTATATATACACTGCTCAAAAAACTAAAGGGAACACAAGCAGAAGACATCCAAGATCTGAATGAATGAAATAGCTTTATTAATTCAAGGTGTTAGTTATCACCTTTAAAGCGCTCCATGGCTTAGGACCTGGGTACCTACGAGACCGTCTTTTGCCACCAATAGCCGCCCACCGACCAGTTCCTTCTCACAGGAAGGGACTACTCAGGGTACTGTCAGTCAAATTATGTCGACTGGCGACTCCCAGGGGGAGGGCTTTCTCTGTGGGGGCTCCAACCCTTTGGAATGAACTGCCCCCGGAGATACAGAATATCCCTGATCTCCATGCTTTCCGCTGTGCCCTCAAGACCCTGATGTTCCAACAGGCGGGGCTAAACATATGAACATGTGAATGATTTTTTAAATGTTATCTAATTCTGGGTTTTATTTAATTGACCAAACTAAGTAATAATTTTAATTAGCAATTTTATGATGTTTGTGTGTCTATATTTTTCTTGACTGTACACCGCCTTGAGTCCTACAGGAGAAAGGCGGTATAGAAATATAATAAATAAATAAATAAATAAATAAATAAATAAATAAATAAATAAATAAATAAATAAAATACTTTGTTCGTTACATACAGTAGTTTTGTGTTCCCTTTAGTTGTTTGCGCAGTGTAAAAACTACTGTATGTAAAGAACAAAGTATTTAATAAGGCTATTTCATTCATTCAGATCTCGGATGTCTTTTTTTGTGCAGTATGTATGTATGTATGTATGTATGTGTATGTATGTATGTTTTCTGAGGTTTTCGCGGGTGTTTGTATGTAGGTCTTTGGTTATTCGGGTTTTCTCCCGCGTAAAATTGGAAGTGTCTATACACACACACACACACACGAATGGAATTCCCACTGATG